TTAGGGAAGCAGAAAACTTCACCTAGGCTGGTGGGATCTAAAACCAGAAGACAGGCTGGGCACAGTGGCTCACACCTGTAATTCTAGTGCTTTGGGAGGCTGAGGCAGGTGGATCACCTGAGGTCAGAAGTTTGAGACCAGCCTGCCAACATGATGAAGCCCTTATCTACTAAAAATGCACAGACCAGCCAGGCATGGTGGTGCATGCCTGTAAGTCCCAGCTACCTGGGAGACTGAGGCATGAGAATTACTTGAACCTGGGAGGCAGAATTTGCAGTGAGCTGAGATTCCGTCACTGTACTCCAGCCTGGGTGACAGAGTGAGACTCTGTCTCAGAAAAATAAAAATAAAAATAAACATAAATAAAACCAGAGAGCTGGACCTCCACTTCCAGGTGGAGGCCAGGGAAGCTGCAACAGAGGAATGGCTGCAGTGAGCCAGGCCATACGGTGAGCCTGGCAGAGATTGCCATGGCCCAAACACGGCACATAAACCACCAGACCTCACTGCATCTGACAGCATGGGCCAGGGCATTTGTGGGGATCAGTGGCCAAGGCCCAGGTAGGGGGAAAGATGTCTCAATATCACTATGGTTACCAAGGTCTAGAAGTTTCCCATACTGAACCCCCAGCCCCTAACACACACCAAATTCTTGGCATTACGTTAACCCCTCTGAAATGAGGCACAGTTACAGGGAAAGGGAGGGTATTCCAAATTAACTGAGATTGAGTCTTCACTTAAATGATGACATGGAGCCTCGAACTAGACATTAACTTCAGATAATGAAGAATTACATTTTATTTTTTCCTTATCAAAGTTTGGACTTATAGCAGTTAAATGCATTTTCATAAGTTTATATATGGATGATTGAAAAAAAAATTATTAAGAGTAGTTGCCTAGGAGAAAGAGGCTATACAGTTGGAAGGTGAAGGAGAGACTATTTTGGTTTTCCTTCAGGCACTTTCATAATGTTTAAACAGTTAAATACGTACTAGTTAAATAAGTTAATTGCCTGAAGTAGTACAAATTGCTAAGACAAAAAAGGCAGGTTCAAAATCATTTTGTAGTACAGGATAAAAGTCAAGGCTCAAAATGCCTATTTTGAGTGAATTATTAGTATCTCCAAACGTTGATTTACTAATTTATAATGTGAGAAGGTTGGGTTAAGTGATTATATAATCTCTTGTCTCTAAAATTATCATAAGGCAGTGAGTTTTCTGTTCTTGAAAATGTACAGCCAAATACAGTAGAAAAGAGTCATATTTGTGAAAGACTTTGGATAAGTAAAGAGCTTTCTAACAATGTTTTTCTAAAGGTAATAACTATAGGAACAGCAGTGGAAACATAGAATTGTTCCAAGAACAAGGCTTGGTTATCAATCCCAGGTCTGCCAATTATTTTCTGCATGACTTTGGGCAAGACAATTTAAACATTTTGGGTTAGATTACATCTGTAAAGCATGAGTTCCCAAACCTGGCATTAGCATCAGTCCAAGATTTTTAAAAAATACACATTCCATAAATCCAACAGAAATGTCACCAAAAGACACTACAAGAATGTTCACAACAGCACTATTTGTACTAACTCAAAACCGGAAACAATCTGAATGTCCATCAATGAACAAAGAATAAAGGAAGAAATGTTGGTGGGCTCATATGATTGGATACCATAGAGTGGGGTTCAGCAAACTTTGCTCTGTAAAGGGCCAGATAGTAAATATTTCTAACTTTGCCAGCCATGTAATCTCTGTGGCAACCAAGCTCTACCATTGCAGTGTGAAAGCAGCTGTAGATAATACTGAGACAAATTAGTCTGGCAGTGTTTCAATAAAACTTTATTTATAAAACCAGAGATTGATCCCTTACTATATAGCAATGAAAACAAACTAGAACTACCAGCAATAACATGGATGAATTTCACAAGCACACTGTTGAGTGAGAGAAGCCACGTACAAAAGAATACATGCTGTGTGATTCCATGTATCTAAAATTTCAGAATTGGCAAACGTAAGCTATGATGTTAAAAGTCAGAATAGAGTGGTTATCTTGGGAGAGTGGTGCCTAGTAGGGGACCCAGAGGGTGTCTTGTGGGCTGGATTGCTTTATTATTTAGTGTGAGACTGTGTTCACTTTGTGAAAATTAATCTGTATATTTACAGGGCTTGCACACTTTTTCCTGATGTAAGGTTTACTTCAGTGAAAAGGTCACCATAAAGAAATACAAATATTTCAGTGTCTCACTCTGTAGAATCCGAGTTGTTGGCCAGGGTGTGGCTTGAGGATCTATCCTAAGCCTGCCTTGAAGAAGTAAAGTGAGCTGCCCAGGGTCACGTTATTGGCAGAGCTGAGACAGAGAGCAAAAGCTCTTACAGTGTTGGGCATGGAGTGAGTCAGCCCTGCAGAAAGAGAGGACGCAGCATCTGCCCTTGAAAACGAACTGGGAAGGCCGGGCGCGGTGGCTCAAGCCTGTAATCCCAGCACTTTGGGAGGCCGAGACGGGCGGATCACGAGGTCAGGAGATCGAGACCATCCTGGCTAACCCCGTGAAACCCCGTCTCTACTAAAAAATACAAAAAACTAGCCGGGCGAGGTGGCGGGCGCCTGCAGTCCCAGCTACTCGGGAGGCTGAGGCAGGAGAATGGTGTAAACCCGGGAGGCGGAGCTTGCAGTGAGCTGAGATCTGGCCACTGCACTCCAGCCTGGGCGACAGAGCGAGACTCTGTCTCAAAAAAAAAAAAAAAAGAAAGAAAACGAACTGGGAAATGGCTAAAAGAAGTCAAGGTCACATTCTGGACGGACTCCAACCTACAATCATATTTGCACTGTCACCTGGACATGCTCACTGACTTCTGCCACCTGGGCAGTGCCCAGTTCAGAACTCTGCAGATTGCTGGAATTGCTGGGGAGCTGCCAGAGGGCTTTCAGAACTCAGCGTGAGTCCAGCGAGTGCGGCAGCCAGCTCCCGAAGGGAATGGCCTCAGCATACTTTCCAGCTCTCGGCTCTCTTACAGGAAGGCATTGCGGTGCAGCAGACACAGTCTGAAGTGGGTTTTCAAACAGACACAATTTCACATTCTGGTTTTGCAACTTGCTGGAAAATCAGTGAATTTTACTCAACCCCAATTTTTCTCATCTGTGAAACAGCCATAAAATCAACCCCCACTGCCTCTTCCTCACCCCTCCCACATATAAAGGACTTTTTTCTCTTTTTTTCTAGTCAGTCTTCATTGAACTAACATGTACACGCCAAGCACCATTAAGCATTTTGCAAAGGTTGTCTCATTTAATTCTTGTCAGTAAAGAAGTTTCATTTATGATCCTCATTTTATAGTGAAGAAACTAGGAATTAGTCGACTTAAAACTGACCTGTCCAAAGTTACACAGGTAAGAGGTGGAACCAATTTCCCACTGAAGAAGTTTGCCTGGGAGCCTGAGCTGGTAACCACTGTTTGTGATGATGACAATGCCTGGCAGTTGGCATCCTGTCTGGCCCATGGATGAAATTTAATAGAAGTTAATTCTGCATTTCCTTTTTTCTTAAAGAGCTATGAATTGGAGCTGAGGCCTGGCAGTCAGAAAGCCAGGATTCTAGTGGGCTGGTAAATCACTTCTGTTTCCTTGCAGCATAATGAAAGCATGGGATCAGATCACTCTCCTTAAACGTTTCTTCTGGGCTGAATGAATTTGTACTCTCTACAGGTCTGAATGCTTGCTCTAAACAGAAAATAAGTTAGTTTTTTCCTAAAATTTTATGAAAAATTTGCACTTGTTTCCATCATCTGAGCTTGTTTTGATATTTAAAACATAGATATTATGTCCTACCTAAACCTCTCTCCATGCACTCATTCGCACTCATCTCATCCCATCTCGCAGTCTTGTTTGTGCCTTTACTCAAGGCACACCTAATTCATGGCTGCACATTCCCAAGGGCACCCTAGAAGGGGCACTCTCTTGGTTTGAAAAGCAGAGGTGCCAGTAGGTTTCATCAGGTCTCTGTACCTACATAATTCTATTACTCTGTTAACCTATGTGATGTGGAGGTTTATGACATAGAAGTTCTCCCCAGACCCGACCATAAACTTCCATCTAGAACTGAACCACCTTAAAACAATCCATGCTCTTTTGATATCTTGCCAACTTGGCAGATAAGACTGGATTTTCTACAAATTAAAAAGTGGTGATGGTGATGTGTTTCTTGGTGATGATGCTGATAAAATATGACCCCTACTTTATGCTAGATGATTTCTTATAAAGGCAAATGAAAATTTTGTATCAGAGTTGGAAACCACTGGACCATCAAGTACACTCGAAGGGCAAGAAAGATAAATTTATAGACAAAACAAAGGATTGTTTTTATATTATGTATTTCTCTGTCATCTGCCCGCACCTGAAACCCAATTAACATTCAAGGGACCATGAGTTTTGTTCGAGCCATTTAGAAGAGTAAAAGGAGAAGTAAATTTTAATAAGCCAGTATTTTTCTCTTGACACAAAGATTAGCGGAATTTGGGAATAATGCTTAAAATAAGTTGTTATAGGCTGGGCGTGGTGGCTCACACCTGTAATCCCAGCATTTTGGAAGGTCAAGGTGGGCGGACCACTTGAGGTCAGAAGTTTGAGACAAGCCTAACCAACATGGTGAAACCTTGTCTCTAATAAAAATACAGAAAATTAGCTGGGCATCGTGGCGGGCACCTGTAATCTCAGCTACTCAGGAGGCTGAGGCAGGAGAATTGCTTGAACCTGGGAGGCGGAGGTTGCAGTGAGCCGAGATCACGCCATTGCACCCCAGCCTGAGCAACAAGAGTGAAACTCCATCTCAAAATAGTAATAATAATAAGTTGTTATAATATATGGAATGTATATTGCAGCATTATATTTTAAAAACAAACCATTACAAAAACACCGTTAATTTTGAAAGGCACATTAACCAGTAGGGTTGAAAGATTTAATGTTCCAGTAATAGGAGTTTGGAATTCCAAAACACAGAGAAATCGTCACTTTTATTGTTTTGCTTAGTTTGGTTTTATTTCAGGAAGTTAGGAGACACTGGGCCCGACAGCGCAGATGACAAGCCGTGGTGCAAATGCTTCCTATCTATGAGACAGGAAATGCTCTCAGACCCTGCACGTAACTCCCCGCAAAGTTTGCTCTTTGTTTTTGGTACGTCCATTTGCTTCTTTGTGCTTAATTCTATGTATTGTGTACAGATGAGACAAAGAGAAAGCTGCAGTTATAGGACAGTATATGACTTCTAAAGAAATTGCTCTTACATTATCAAGGAACAAATGAAGAGGTTTACTGATTTATGAGGAGACATTTGGTATAAACTGAAGGACTTGATACAGTAGCCTTATAAAGGACCTCATAATAAAATTTGTCAGGTCACACACACATATGCAAGCACGTACATATATACACATATACAACTGTTTTTCACGTGATTTCAGATTTTTCAAATGCAGTCACTAAAGATTAATTGTAGCAATTAATACATTTTGAATTTGTACCCTCTGAGCTCTTACCATTTTGGACACGCAGACCTTGGGAATTAAGAACCTAGAATATTTTTCTTCATAATTTTGACACTGATTCATCCTATTTTTTTTTTTAAGGAGGAGGGGGGTCACAGGTTCTTGCTCTGTCACCCAGGCTAGTGTGCAGTGATGCGCGATCATAGCTTGCTGTAACCTCAAACTCCTGGGCTCAAGTGACCCTCCCACCTCAGCCTCTTGAGTAGCTGGGACTACAGGAACAGACCACCACACCTGGCTAATTTTTTAAAAACTTTTTGTAGAGACGGGGTCTCACTATGTTGCCCAGATTTGTCTTGAATTCCTGGCCTTAAGCAGTCCCCCTGCCTCGGCCTCCCAAAGTGCTAGGATTACAGCCAGGAGCCAGTGCACTGGGCCATGATTCATCCTGTCTTTGAATCTGCCCACCTGGAAGTGTTGTGTAAATTTTTCCATAAAGACTGGAATTGGCTTCAGTTCAACTATCAGATTCTTCACAGTGCCTCAGAGGCATGCTCCTACTGCTGCAAAAAAAAAAGCTGGGGGAGGAAAGTATTTTAAAATTATTGAATGATGCTTGCTTAAACTTGCAAATTTACAGTGGCCAGGAGCACAACATCATGGTAAAAAATTTTCCTCCTACAGTACTTTTGATGACTTTACTACAATATTATATAAGTCCAACTAGAGAACTGCAATAGAATGATACATTTCATCCCATTTGCTATACAGCTGGTTTTTATTACAAAAATCTTGTTTTTCCTTTAGTTTCATTTTTAAGGCAAATATTTGGCCCCTGGTTGAGGGAGTAGAGTGTCAACCCTCAGCATTTGAAAAGGGAATTGCATGTTGCCAGGGCCATGCTGCCTCCCAAGCCTGTGGGAGAGGAGCCTTGCTTGTCTGGTCCACCTCTAGGAGCCCCAGGCATTCCTTGATTTCCAGCACAAAACTTCAGTCTCTGACTCTTGATTACATGGTCATCTTCTCCATGTGTCTGTGTCTTCGGACGGTGTCCTCTCTGTGTTTATTTTCTCTTCTAAGGGCAGCTGTCTTTTGGGATTAAGGATGCACCTTATTCCTTGCGATCTTCCTTGCGATCCCAACAATTAATTTGCAACAACCCTATTCCAAATAATGTCACATGCTGAGGTATTGTGGATCAGAACATCAGCATATCTTTTTGGGAGGCACAATTCAACTCGTAAGACCTGCCAAGCACCACTCTAGGTGCCAGATTACAGAACAAATAAGACAGAGTTCATGCTCTGCAACTACAAGGAGGTTGACATGAAACAAACAAAAACCAAGAGTATCAGTTCATGATAAATGCTATGTAGACGATTACAGGGCACCTTAAACTTACATCGGGTACTACAGAGACAATTATATAATAGGGCACCTACTCTGAAAAAAATCACTCTAGGGTGACGTTTAAGCTGAGATCCCAAGGAAAGATGAAGGCAGTCATGCAGAAATAGGAAAAAGAAGATTCAAGGCTAAAGAAACGAAGGCCCCAGGAGGAAAAGAATTGCCCCATCCCATTGCTCACAGCCAAATCTGTCAGCAAGAAGGGCTTCCTTTTTTCCATGAATTTATGTATGACCTCACATATGATCTGCTTAAGTTTGAGCTCCTGGTAGGTAATTTTCTGTAAAGTTATGGACAGATGGAACAGCAACCCAAGGAATATAACTTTTCATGCTCTAAAAAAAAAAGTGTTCATCTTTAGCTTGAAGGTGGCACATTGTTTTATGGACTGTGAGGCAATTTTTATAGTTTGGCAGCTATTTTCCAAATATAAACTGAAATAACATTGTAAGGAATTGTGGAAAATAAATGGAGAAACTATTACTGACTAGCTAAGTCCTTCTCATATCTCCTTAAACGATAAAGACATTAGTTTCATTTACAAGAAAATCATCCCTAAATTTGTCTTTAATCAGATAAATTTAAAGAAATAAATGGGGTCAGGTGTGGTGGCTTATACCTGTAATCCCAACACTCTGGGAGGCTGAGGTGGGCGGATGACCTGAGGTCGGGAGTTTGAGACCAACCGGGCCAACGTAGTGAAACCCCACCTCTACTAAAAATATAAAAATTAGCCGGGTGTGGTGGCAGGCACCTGTAATCTCAGCAACTCAGGAGGCTGAGGCAGGAGAATTGCTTGAACCCGGGAGGTGGAGGTTGCAGTGAGCAGAGATTGTGCCACTGCACTCCAGCCTGGGTGACAGAGTGAGACTACATCTCAAAAACAAACAAACAAAAAGGGAATACATAAATAATTATAAGAATATAATTAATGTAATAAGAATAAAAAATTAACATAAATAATGTAGAAATAGCCATTATTTATGTTTGTGATTATATTTCATAGAAGCCACATTTTCCCAAGAACATTCTTACCTTTTAAAATTCCATAGATCCAATAGCATAGGACATAGTGATCTAAAGTTGGGATCTAAGTGGTTTCATCTCAAGGAAAATTAAAACATTGAATGACAATGAAAAACAGCACAGAAAATTTAAGGGCCAAGGTATTTTGTACCTTTTCTATGTCAAGTTTGGGTTTGCATTTTCAAAACTCTAAGAAAGATTAACAGTAAAAATAGGGCATCTTTTTTATCGCTGTTGTTTGCAGATATAAGCATATTTTACTCACTGAATTATTAACTTTTCCATATGTCTGTCAATTTTTAGAAAAAGACCAAGAACTTCTAAAATAACATGTCAGAATCTGTGATTCAGGGAGAGAACAAATGTATTCAGCTCTCAGAATAACCTAAGCTCTGACCCAATTGAGTCTTAAATGAGAAGCTTTCTAAGAATATGGTTGTTTCACAGTAACTTTCTATGAATTCTCTCAAACAAAATTTAACAAGGGCCACGACTTCTTAAGATGTTCAAAATTGAACACTGCTCATCTTTTCATCCATTCTGGGGGGAAAAATCAAGCTACAAATCCTTAAAAATTAAGCAAATAAGCAGAAACCTTACTGTGCAATAAGCATTTCAAGACACTTCCAGGAGGGTCATGTCTTTCTATTGAGTTATATTTCAAATAATTGCATTAGAAAAAAGGTGTTAGGAGGTTAAACATAAAGTGTATTCCATGCAATCCCTTTGGGTCAAGGTATACTGCCCTGAACACACTAGACCAGCGTTCATTCATCTGTGGGATGGTGAAATTTCTCCCACTCTCCCTACCCCCAGAATCCTCACCTGTGCTTCTTGGAGGCACTAGACTCAGATGTGGGGCATCTGCTGTTCTGGCCCAGAGGGTGGGCACCACGAAGGCTGTTGCTCCTGAGCCCCTTCCATCAGGGCAGCCGCAGAGGAGGGCAGTTTTTATTCAGCTGGGTTTTTCTGTTGTTTCTTAAAGGCCCACAGTTACAATATCAGAGGCCCGAGTGAGACGTTGGTTCCCTGGAAGAGTTAGCAAATGAGCTATGAATACCTTATTAATATTAGCTTACCAAACAATTAACAAAGGCAGGTAGAGTCAAAACTCACATATAAATAAGTCACTTGGAGTACATTGTGATTGCTGAGAATGAAGATCTACTATATGGCTTACTCCAGTGAAAGTATATATATATGAATGTAATTTCAGAGACCCTTTTTCTAAATCAACTGTAGAAAAGCTAACTCTCTTTTCTTCTACTTTTTACATCACAATTAAAAGGAGACCCCATTCCTTTGGTTCTAGAAGTATGTTACAAGAACAAGAGCAAGAGTCTGTTGGCTTTTTGCTTGGCACCGGCATTCCTTTTGCGTCTCTTAAGCTTGGCATATGAGTAAGTCATTGAAGACTGAGTGTGTTATAGAAAGAAAAACCACACTTGAGTTTGAACCTGAAGCTTCAAGGAACAAAACAAATGTTGGCCTAGTGAAAAAAAAAAGCAAGTTACTCAGTGTCCAAATGAATCTGCTGTTTTAGGGGGAAACACTGTGAAAGAGGTAAAGGGTACTTTGTTTACATGAGAACCACAGTACGCTGGCAAGGTATCTGAGTGAACCAGGTGGTGGTGGAATATTTTTCTCCTAAAGCCTTTCATCACACCACTCTGACTTGCTACAATGGCTGCCTGTGCTTGCTGACTCCAGTGAGTTCCAGGCATCAGTAGGGACTGAAAATATAAGCAAAGGAAAACACTTCACAGATGTGGGTTATTTCAGAAAATTGAAGAGAAGGAGGGAGATTGGGGGTCCTAGGCAAAGCATTAATATTATGAGTCAGACATACCTGCAGTTCCCAGATGCTTTGCAGATTCATTTTGTGCCATGCAGCACACATTTTCTTCCTGTTTTACTCTTGCAGATTCTCCTCTTGATCCTCTTCCCTCCCACTTGGAAATTTTACTTCTGCTGGATTTTAAAGCTTTGATTCTTTTTTTTTTTTTTTTTTTTTTTTTTTTTTGAGGTGGCCTTTCTCTGTTGTCAAGGCTAGAGTGCAGTGATGTGATCTCAGCTCACTACAACCTCCTCCTCCCGTGTTCAAGCAATTTTCCTACCTCAGCCTCCCAAGTAGCTGGGATTACAGGCGCCCACCACCATGTCTGGCTAATTTTTTTATCTTTAGTGGAGACAGGGTTTCACCATGTTGGCCAGGCTGGTCTCGAACTCCTGACCTCAAGTGATCTGTCCGCCTGGGCCACCCAAAGTGCTGGAATTACAGGTGTGAGCCACAAAGCCTAACCTAAAGCTTTGATTCTATAGTAGGCTACTCTGACCTGGGCATATTGGCTTGATCATAATGGTTCCCTAGACATGGACTAAACAAATTAGTAAATAAGATATATCTGGTATAAGCCACCTTTCAGTGAAGAGACTAATTGGGGGTGAATGGGTCCTACATTCTTTATATCAGAACTCTGCTTGGTCCAAATTTGCCAAATAGTTGGCTACCTCTTTATTATATTTGACCTCAGAAAGCTAACCATACATCTATAGTTCAGAGAAAGACAAAGAGTAAAAGAAAAGTAATCAGAAAAGTGTCAGTTGCAGAGAATGGGTGCGGGGAGGAGGGTCTCTGCTTTACATCGTTATTTTGAAACTCAAGATTTTTCCTTCTAGCGTAGGACTTAGCACGCTACAGCTCACAGGTCAAATATAGCCAGATTTTGGAAAAGAAGAAAGGTTTTGTACATTTTTAAAGGAAAGAAGCTGAAGGAGAAAGAGGAGGAGGAGGGGGAGAAGAAACAGAGACTTTATACAGTCTACAAAGCTTAAAATATTTATTACCTGACCCTTTACAGGAAAAGTTTGCTGACCACTCATATGACTCAGCAAGTCTCTAGGGCTCTGAAGTACTTCGCTGGGTCCCCCATAAGCAACACTTAGGAGAACAATAAAAAGCATTTGAAGGATTTTGTGGGAGGTATTATAACCAGGCTTCCAGGAGGCATATGCTTCTGGTAGATAGAACTCAATCATCTACCTGCATGGGAAGACAGAAAATAAAGTCAAGCTATCTGCCCAGGAGGGAAAGGGGTCTGGCTGGTGAAAATGCAGTTGTTATAAGACACACAAAGTTAACTGCTAGGAGAATTAAATTGGCAGTTGTTGAGAGCTCAAGAAAGATAGTCAGGACACCTCAGACAAAGGTTATGGAGGTGGCTTCCCAGAAAGGGTCAAACTAAGATGTTCGGTCAGCAAGAGGGTGGGAAATGCAGGTAAATGGAATGAGAAAATCACAGCACAAACAGGGGAAATGTAAGGCTTGGCCAAGGAATCACATCTAACAAGGAAAAAGGTCCCACTGGGAAGTTCTGGGATATCATCTGCCTAGAAAGAAAGATTGGGTTCAGGTGGTAAAAGGCCTTGAGTGTCAGTTCACATATATGATGCCAACTTTAAAAAAAAAAAGTTCAACCAATAGTTTTTTCTGATTTTTATTTTATCTTGTTTTATTTCTTTTTTACTCTTTGGCAGCATCGTCTATGGATCTGGAAACTCTGCATGTTGCGTTTCCTCATAGGTGTCTCTGCATAAAGGCTACCCTCAGAAGATAGGGATACTTGGATCTCAAGAACGAAATAAAATGTTAAAATTTGACTCATCTTTTTTGAGAAAACAAACTTATAAATCATACATTTAAAGAAGTAGATGACAACATTTATAATTGGCATAAATAATAATAAAATGAATACTCAGGCTCCCACGTTAAGTAACAAAACACTGCCAGTATTTGACACCTTCGTGTCCTTCTTGATCACATCTCCTTCTCCCCGCCACCAAGAGGCAACAATCCTGAAATTTATGGTACTTGTTCTTTGTTTTTCTTTATAGCTTTACTTCCTATTTATGGATTTCTGATAATATATTAATTTTACCTGCTTTGGCCTTTGTATAGATGGTACTATATTATACATATTCTTCTGTGATGTGTTTTTGTGCAATGTTATGTTTTTTTTGTTTGTTTGTGTTTTGAGACGGTGTCTCGCTCTGTCCCCCAGGCTGGAGTGCAGTGGCGCAATCTTGGCTCACTACAAGCTCCGCCTCCTGGGCTCAAGTGATTCTCCCGCCTCAGCCTCCCGAGTAGCTGCGACTACAGTCGCCCACCACCGCACCCGGCTAATTTTGTTTTTGTGTTTTTAGTAGAGGCGGGGTTTCACCGTGGTAGCCAGGATAGTCTCCATCTCCTGACTTCGTGATCCGCCGGCCTCGGTCTCCCAAAGTGCTGGGATTACAGGCGTGAGCCACCGCGCCCAGTCCCAGTGTTTTGTTTTTAAGATTCATTCAAGTTGCTGCTTGTAGCTAGCAGCTAATTTGTTTATATGGTATTCTGCTATATGTTAACCCACTCTTGATGGCCATGTCTCTTTTTAAATTGGAAAAAATGTATCCCTTTCAAAAACATTAAAATAAATACTAAAAAGTCAAAAACAAAACAAACAAACAAAAACAGGAAATAAGATGCCTGTGAAGAATGCATTGCTTGTGTCTGCAGACTATTTAAATGACAAGGTATCGGTCCTTGGAACTCCCTGTTCTAATAGGAGTATAGAGCTTGGCTGATCACATTCCATTTGATTTGCTATGACGTTTATCTGTACCCTTTCTTGGTGGTTTGTTTTTTCAGATTACCAGTTCCTTGCATGTGATTGAAGGGTTCTAGTTGCTTTAGAGGCAGCCCGGTCCCCTTGCCTTCACCCTGCCAGTTAAGAACATTCAGGGCACTTTTGTACTAACAGGTCTCAGATTTCCATTTCAGGACATTTGGGCATAGGCCTTCATAGGAGAGTTTCCTCACATACCTCAGGCTGTTGACAACATGACTTGCCCTTTGCAATCCACTTATTCTGGACATAATGTAAGTGACAGTGATAATTCTATGTTATTCATCTTCCTTGTTAGGCTTTTGTTCTTGAGTCTATTTGTGGCTCAATTTTGTAAATGAAGAAAGCCATTTTCTTTTTCATGTCTTAAGCCTGGCTGAGAGAACATTTCTCAGCTTCTGTTGACACATCCATTTAACTGTCCACCTAGGAAAGCTTGGAGATCCTGATACAGCAGCACAAAACATCAGTGCACAGTCCCATGAGAAAACCTCAACTGCTCAAGCCTCACTCTCTAAGATAGTTTTCAAGAGTATTAACAACTATCTCATTCCTTCCTACAGAAAAGAAACAAGAAAATTTTTCCAAGAGTGGTAAAACATTCTACTTCTCAAACATTTCTCTAAGTTTCTTTTCCTTTTTGTTGTGTATTTCACAGGCAGGTTTCAATTCTGAATTATGAGCCTACGTTTGTCTCTTGAGAACAACCTGAGTTGCAAAGACTCCTTTTTAAGCTTCTCTGCTTAAAGCAATCAACTCTATAAATTATCCATCTCTTACTTGATATGCATTTTCTAATAGGTAGTCTAAAGCCATCCCATATGAATACTCATTTTCACACTAAAGGTGGAAAAAACCTAAAAGCCTTTCTTTTTTTTTTTTTTTTTTTTTTTTTTTTTTTTTTGCCAAGAGGCAGATATTCTTCTGTTGAAAAGCCTGTCTATTCCTGGTGGGAAGTTTTATTTCTATCTTCAGAAACATCATTTTAAATTTGCGTAATCAGTTCAGCAAACTGCTTCTTATAGTGATAAATAAATATCAAATTAAACTTGCAATTAAAATTTACTAAAAATATAGGTTGCTATAATTTTGTTGGTGATAAAAGTACAGAAGTAGAAATGATTAATGATGATTACTAATTATGCAGCTGTGTTCAGAGCACACAAGTCTATGGAGCTATAGCTTTTTAGCTAAATAACGATGTTATTCCAGGAAAAACCTTTGTATATAACATCTAAATGCAACTCATTTCTAGTCAGAACAAACACCCCCATCACCTCATAACGCTTAGCTTGACAAAGAGAACCAGAAAAATAGAACGCTAGAATAATCGTTTCATATCCTCTTTTGCTTATTCTTGGTTTTTGTGGTTGTTGTTGACTGTTAGAGTTTCTAAGAAAAAACGCCATCAATGTGAGAAATTATCTGGTATTAATTATACTGAAGACAAGAGTAGCTTGTTAAAATTCTGACTTCTTTCTTTCCTAAATTTTGTATGTCCTGTCTTGGCATTTCATATTGAAAATAACTTACTGGTGCCGGGCGTGGTGGCTCATGGCTGTAATCCCAGAATTTTGAGAGGCTGAGGCGGGAGGATCACGTGGTCAGCAGTTCGAGACCAGCCTGGCCAACAAGTTGAAACTCCATCTCTACTAAAAATACAAAAATTAGCCGGACGTGGTGGCACGTGCCTGTAACCCCAGCTACTCAGGAGGCTGAGGCAGAGGAATAGCTTGAACTTGGGAGGCAAAGGTTGCAGTGAGCCGAGACCCCATCGCGGCACTCCAGCCTGGGACAGAGCAAGACTCTGTCTCAAAAAATAAAATAAAATAAAAATAAATAAATAAATAAAAGTAACTTATTGGTAAGGCTAACAAAGTCACTAAAAAATAAAATCACTAAATAATTGGGTTTTGTTTGTTTTGGGTTTTGTTTTATTTTGTTTTAGAGATGGAGTCTTCTGTCACCCAGGCTGGAGGGCAGTGGAGCAGTCATAGCTCACTGTAGCCTCAAACTCCTGGACTTAAGTGATCCTCCTGCCTCAGCCTCTCCAGATGCAAGTCACTGCACCCAGCAACTTACTAAATATTTGACTTGTAGACAGAGGACCTGGATTTGATCCTATCATCTCTTACTTAAAATGAGAAAATCTACAAATTAGGTAGCCCTCAATTTTTTTAACCACATGTTATTTTTGATTAGCAAAAAATCCCATTTTCCCTTCTCTCTTCTTCACTTGTGTAGAACATCATTATTTTATGAAAAGCAATTTTACAGATAAAACAACAGAGACCTATACAGGTTATGTGAAATTATAATATCTCAAACTTAGTTCTCTTATAATCCAGTCATGTGTTACTTTCAGTATGCAATCAATAAACAAAACCAGGCTGGACATGACGGCTCATGCCTATAATTCCAGCACTTTGGGAGGCTGAGGCAGAAGGATTGCTTGAGTCCAGGAGTTTGAGACCAGCCCAGGCAGCATAGCAAGACCCTGTCTCTAAAACCAAAACAAAAATAAACACACAAAAAGGAGACAGAGAAAGGCAGACAGAAAAAGAGGACAGACAAAGGGAGAAAAAAAAAAGAGAGAGAGGGAAGAAAGAAGAAAGATAAAAGAGGGTGTTGTTGCGAATGTTAAGTATGGAATTCTGGGTAGAGAAGAAAATGATAAAGTCGTAGAAAAAATACGGAAATTTGGAAAAAGTTGTCTTCAAACCAGAAGAACTACTGAGACTACCAAATTGTGACTATAATTTAGTGGACATTTAACATGAAAAATGTTGGGTTAGGGAGATGCATGCAATTTTCCTTCACAGAGGTGGCTTGGTGTGATGGAAAAGATAAAAAACAAACAAAAACTCGTTTAGAAATTCAATGCTTCTGTTGGAATTTGGTTCCACCTCTGAAGTGCAGGGTGACCTCGTCCATGTTGTGTAACTTATTTACTCTTCTTTCCTCATATGGGAAATGATGATAGTGTATCCATCAACCTACCCACATCACAGGGTTATCTGAGGATCTGATGATATCACTTTTGCATAAAAGCTCTTTGAAAGTTGTAAAGCACCAAAGTAACATATAATATGACCACAAGTAAACCACATGCTGTTCCTTCGCATGGAAGCTGGAAAGTCAAATGCAAAAGTAAAATGGAGGAGATGGGTCACATCATTTTAAAGAAAAATGCAGCTGATCCCATTAACCACAGCCAGATTTTTAAGACCACCTTCGACATTTTTTGAGTGCTTAATCTTAAGCAACAGAGCTTAAGCAATTTTGTTTTAGTATCATGAACACAAGAATCTTTTTGTTTTTGTTTTTGTTTCGTTGTTGTTTTTGACAAAGTGGTTTGAAGAGGCACTGGGGAGGGAAGCAAGATACAACTGAGGGGACCTCAGCCGTTTGCCTCCTTATTACAAAGCATCGTGAGATGACGGCAAGGAAGAAATCTCACAAGGGGCTTGCAGCTGCCTCTCCGTCTGCCGCTGAGTGATGCAGAGCAAATTGCAGAGCTGGAGACACAGCAGTAGCCCAGAGAACTGCCCTGATGACTCCTCCTGGGCCAAGCACCTCCTGTCAGAGCTGGCCAGTTAGCATTGGCAGACAACCTAGTTAGGACAAGGACACAGAATCAGAGTGGCTGACACAAGAGAGCCCCTCACTGTGACAGCAACTCAAACTTCTGGGGCTTCAGAAAGGAAATAGATGTTTGGAAACAGATATGACAAAAGGCCTTTCCCTTCAACTGCTCAGCATGTGACACTGAATTTTGGAGGATAAAAAAAATAAAAAGAAAAAGAACCATTGTTCATCCCCTCAGGGCTTAGCAAGTGTTTTATCACATTTTTATAAAATATAGTCTTCGCCCCAAAGCTTTGTTTGCATGAGGGTGTGTCCCATCCATGGGTGGAAAATTTCCATACCGTTTTTTCCATTCAGTTCTGTTCCTCCCTCTTTTGTAGAGTTTTTCAGGGTCTCTGTCCATTGTGATTCTAACACGCACCAACCCTAAGGACCAATGTTATTTGCTATTTCAAAACTTGAAAGATCAAAATGGCAGGGGAAGAAATCAGAATCCCTTTAGTGCCAATTATTTGCCAAATGTCTGTATGAAGAGCCAACGTGACACCTTTTTTCTTAATTCATCCACCAGTGACATTTGTTAAATGATTATTCTGCCAATACTATGTCAAAGAATACCACACACTTTAAAAACTCCTTTAATTCCGCAGATCAGCTGATATGAGTGATTTTGTTCCTAAAAAGGTTGGTGTGTTTAAGTCTCTCTCCCACTTGCAGTCTTCCCTACTCCTATGTCTGAGGCAGGTGTTGACAGTTGTTATTCTGTGGTAGGAATTTTTAGAAACAACAGCACTGTCGGGTGG